AGTATTATTGAGGTGTTATTATTTGCTTTTTATTATTAAAGCTTCATTTATCTTTAATCTTTCTTTAAAGATTGCTTAAATCATAATATATATATATATATATATATATATATATATATATATATATATATATATATATATATATAAAATGTATATATATATATAAATAAATTTCTTTGTTTCTCAAAAATTGACTAAAAAAATTCTCTTTACTCATGAATAATTATAATGTTTATCTATCATATTTAAAATGACAAACATTTTTATTTCTGCCATGTCACAATTTCATTGTATTTTTTTTTTTTTTTTCAGACACCTTTCTCCTTCATTAGCATGATAACTTTGCTGAAGATCCATTTTTTCAAAGATGAATTAAATTTTACTTAATCATATTGTTAGTAACCTAAAGAAATACAAGTAATGTAACATTTTTATTTTCAGATCAATTATGGGAAGTAGAAATCTTGGTTCCTCTTTCACAGCAACCCAACGGCTGAATCGCTCAAGTCTGAGATCAAACCAAGATAGCAAAACCAACCATGATGAAGACACACAATGTTATTTATTTCATAAGCACATCCTTGGGAAGATGTCAAAATTGAGGCCTTTGTTCTTCAGTGAGAAAGCATTGTTCATGGGACTGATGGCCTTCCGTTTCCTGAATGCCTTCATGATTCAGACTCAGTACGTCCCTGATGAATATTGGCAATCTCTTGAAATTGCACATTCATATGTGTTTGGGTAAGTTTTTTTTCTTTTTGAGAAAATTTACTATATATATAATTGTGATTGATTTATTGTTATTTTTTTTTTTTTTTGTATTTTAGAACTTATGAACCTTTTGTGGCTTATTTAAAAGAGAAACCTTTTTTATTAGAATAATAATTACTTTATTTATTGATTATTTTTTTTTATTTTGTGAATATTGTATTAAGTTTTTTGAGACTAACAATGAACTTTCCAGATACATAATACAATACATATATAATACAAGTTGTATTATTTAACACATAGTTGGGGAAGGAGATGGATTTATACATTCCCCAGGGCTATTTGTGTATAAGTTAGTGTAATGAACCTGACTAGAATTTGAACTTGGATCTCTGATTTATTCCGTGCTGTACCATCCACACATCCTTTAATTGCAGTATAAGCTGTTATGACCATTGCACCATTTGTTTGCTGATAGTCCATCTCTAAATAAGCTGAAAAAATGGTTGGTTCCTTCTACTAGTCCATAAAGTACTTGACTCTACTTACTATGCTCTATTGCTACAAGAGTCAGATCAGACCAAAAATGGAGTATTGTTTCTTTTCTCCTCTCTCTCATATATATATATATATATATATATATATGAGAGAGAGAGGGAGAAAGAGGAAGGGAGATATATATTTCATGCTGATGCAGTCTTCAAGTGTATATTATTTTGGGTTGACACTGGTTTTTTAATTTCTCTTACATTTACCTATATTTATCCATTTAATTATATATATATATATATATATATATATATATATATATTATATATTTATATATTTATATATATATATTTATATATATATATATTTATATATATATATATATATATATAAGCCTTCACCAGAAACAAGTCATTGTGTTGGTTTTTACAACTGCATCTAATTAGTTCCACATATCCATTACTGCAAAACGCTACAAAACAACATCAACTTCATCTTGGCACTTGGAATGTACAAACTCTCCAGGACAACAACTCGACACCAGAAAGAAAAAACAGCTCTGGTCTCATTGGAACTAAAAAAGTACCAACATTGATATAGCTGCTTTCTGATAACCATCAGTCAACTTCATGAAACAAGAAAGCAAAATAAGAAAACTAACAGTGTTCCTGCTTCACTTGGCAACAATACATTCTCCTCTACTGTTTGTGAAAGATTTGTGCAATTCTCAAAACCACTCTCAAAAATCATGCAGATAATTAGTTTGTGGTTGTCAGAAACAATACGTGTCGAACTCAACAGGAGAATCCATCATATATATATATATATATATATATATATATATATATATATATATATATTATACAAGTGTAGGTGGGTTCGAATAGGTGTAATTCAATGCCCAAACATTATATTTTTCAAAAGTGCTCAATACAGAACAGAGCTTAATAACATATTTTATTAACAATTATAACAAAAATATGTTCTAAACCGCTACATAAATGCAATCATGTTTCAGCACTATCAGTGCTTCTTCAAGCAGTGGTTGTTAGCTGGAGAATAAATGATCATTTTATGCTTTAAAAGCAGTAATATCCTCGCAGGAAGCAGGGAAGGGGTGAAACCTAAATTTCAAACATGCTGGGGGTGGTCTAGATTAACTAATCAAATGTTAAACTTATGATAAGTATGAAGTTTATTTCTGTATTGGATTCCTGTTGACTGTACAAGTTATTTAAAATTAAACTTAGATGTTATCAATGTGTCAAGTATTCTTTAGTCTTAACTCAATAAACTTGTCAACACACTGTATCAATGTCAGTGTCCAGTGACAACTGGTTCAATACATCCTACTCAAAACCTGATTGGATGTAGACGTTCTTCCTTCTTTGGTTTGTGTAGACATTTTTCCCTTGCTTTTTTTTCTTTTTTTTTTTTTTTCTGAAATGTGATGACATATTATTCATTTTCTGGGTCCCTCAACAAATTCATAGAGAATCTCTTCATTCCTCCTGATTATCAACACTACTGTACTTTAGTCTCTGTCTCTGTCTCTCTAACACACAAAATACTAGAGGAGGCACGGTGGAGTAATGGATAGCGGCTTGGTTGAGGAATCACAGAAATGGGTTCGAATTCAAGCCAATCCATTACATTCACTTACATGCTAATACCCTTAGGGAAGGTGTGAATCCTCTTCTTCTCCACTCCAGCTAAGGGTAAATAGCAGTACAGACTGGGTTCTATAGCCTTGGATGGCAACTCGTCTAGGAGAAGAAACTCTGAATTCAAAACCTGGAGGGTCATTTGGGGACCTTGTAGCATGTAATGCACTAGTCTCTGTAATCAGCCCTTCCAAAAAGTGGGGATGGTCCTGCAGAAACCTTCACCACTATAATCAAATCTCATGCTTATACATCGGGTTGGGACGCTTGTGAATTCCAAATTCCCCAAACTCAATATTGGAGCCAGCTCGACCCACCTCGGGTGAATGCCGTTACAGGCAGGTACAGGTATGTCATCAATTGGTTCGATCGGATATATGATAAGAAGAACTGGTCATTTATACAACTTGATATAGTGGACTATGACCTTTTTATTTTTAAGGACAGTTTTACTTTGGCCTTAGGATTTGCTAAGGAATATTCTGATATTTCTCGTAATAAATTCTACATAATTATAAGCTGCAGAAGTTCCATCCTATTTTATAATGAGGAACAATGGGCTAAAAATTCCAGTGATTACTTTGACATTTCCATTGGATACTTGGATTCTGCCAAAGCCTCGGACTTGGTGGGCTTGTTTATCTTGTATAACTTAAGTACTTATGATGGTGTGGATATAGGCAGAATAGGCTTATATAGGGACGATGATCTAATTATATTTGAGAATTCCACTAGCATAAAAGTAGAAAAATAAGAAAAACAATTCATGGAGAATTTAAAAGCTTGAACCTTAAAGTTAAAACTACTACTGATATTAAACAGATAGATTTCCTTGATATCATGCTAGACCTCGAAAATAATATATTCCAACCCTATACAAAGGTCAATGCATATGTCAATGTATACGTATTTATCTATGTTGCATGTATATATGTGTGTATACAGTTATGCTTGGATTCATGTGTGTATTTGTACAGTTTTATGTGACTGAGGATGCATTTGTTTATGTTTGTTATGCTTGGGGGCATATGTATATTTATATATGTATGTGCAAACATTTGCGTGTATGTGTATGTATTTGTATATTTATGTATGTTTATATTTATGTGTATATATGTGTATATTTATGCATGTGTGTATGTGTGTGTAGACATGTATTTATTTGTTATATTATACTCATGCATATAGGTATAATTGTGTATGTGTATTCATATGGTTTATATTAATGTTTGTATATATGGGTGTGTGTTTAAGCTTTTTATATGTCAGTTATCAGTAGATATCACAGTGTTTCCTGAGGTTTGTATGTATGTTGGCATGGATGCTTTTATATAGGACCCTAACTATAACAGCTTCCTTATTAGTCTGAGTTTGTTAACACACCATTTTCTGTAACCTTGTAACGCTCACATTAATTAAGCTGGGGGCTTTTTGGGTTTACCACACCATTGTTAACACCAACAGGAAATCTCTATAAATGACTAGCAGCATGGCCCAGCATTGCCTGTGCTTGATTCAAAAATCATACGACTCATACAGCAATCGCTATCATTTGACTTAAAATATTTTTGCCCTTCCTTGCCTTTAAAGGAGTGCCCTTTTCACACCCAACCCAGTTCTGCGGAATCAGAATCAACGTTGAGTTTAAGCAAGCGAATGAACCAATTGGAGTAAAAGTGCCATACAATTTAAATTTTTTCCCACTTGTGACAAAAGATGCAACTATTGATTTCTTTTTGCATGCTAGTTAACATTCGTGTCAGTCAGCTGTTGGCTGTCACACTGGCCAACAAATCTTCCTGCCTATTCGTGGCATGCAACTATAAATCTCACTCTGCCAGTACAAAATGGCCTAAACTATGAAAAACTACCGTAAAACATGAAAATATCGATTATTTCCACTATCGATGGGAGTTGGGAAATGCAAAGTCGGTCTTGGCCTTCCTGCTAACTTGGAGCATGTGAATATAAATTTTAGTGCAAATCTGTCAAAAATTGCGGCCGTGCATTCGTTACACATACACACACACACATCCTGCCTTTTATAGATAGAGATTAATTCTGTTGGGTAGGAACTTTAAGATTTAATAAGGCTACGTATAGCTGAGTTCAGAGGATATTTTTCCGATTGACATCCTATATGGATAATTAATCATTCCTCCTGGTTATAGACGTAATTGGTCTTTATTGCTATCACTTTCTGACTTCTGGATCTATTGTAATTAAATTGTTGAATTTTGATTGCCCTGCCTGTTAAAGGAGCTTCTGCTCAGCTATAAGTCAATGTAACTTTTGCTTAATTTCTAAGGGTTTTACTTGTTTTAAACAAAGTTCAATGGATGTCCTACTTTCCTTGCCCTCCACACTCTTTCCTATTTTCCCCCCTCCCTCCTCACACCTTTCTTGTTGAACCAGTTGTCACTGCACACTGATATTGCTACAGTGTGTTGACAAGTTTATTGAGTTAAGACCAAAGAATACTTGACACTTTGATAACATCTAAGTTTAATTTTAAATAACTTGTACAGTCAATAGGAATCCAATACAGAAATAAATTTCATACTTATCATAAGTTTGACATTTGATTAGTTAATCTAGGCCACCGCCGGCATGTTTGAAATTTAGATTTTCCCCCTCCCATGTTTTTGTTATAATTGGTAACAATATATATATATATATATATATAATTTCATTATTGACAATAGACAAGGTACATGGTATTAAGCTTTTTATTTAATTTTTCTTGTGTTTGAAAAAGGGTTTTCTTTTCTGGACTCAGATTGTGTAAAAACTGTCTAAATGTTTTGTAATTCTGAGTATTTTTGGCTATACTTTTCGCCATTATCAAGGATGCTTTTATTTTTACTTTTTAACTGGATGTATGTATTGTGTGTATGTATCTAGAGTTATTGGGATCTTTTATTTTCTGAACACTGTTAGCATACTGTGGCCATTTCCTAGTTAATATTATTGAGTGTTGGAATTTTTCTTTTTATTATTAAGGCTTCCATTATTTTTAATCTTTCTTTACATGTGGATGAGGTTATTATGCTTCTGTTTCCTACTAGTGTGTTTCAGATGAAGTCTGGTAAGTTTGTGTGTGTGTTTAAATGGGTTCTAATGGATCTGTGGTTGGATAGGTGTAACATAAATCGTCTGGATAGGCATATGACCGATGTAATTATTTATGAGTTCAGTTTCATCAGGAACACAGTTTCTTAAGGAGCATTTGAACCTATAAATAATGTTCGTTCTTTGTAGTTTTGATTTTGCAGGACTGTTATTATTTTAGAGGATAATGTTACCTGTTTTAAATTTTTTGTAGTAGATAATGAATTTAATGGTTTTTCTTTTTTGTCAATTAGGGTAGTGTATTTCTTTATGATATTTTTAATTTAGAAATATCATGAATAAATACACTGCCCCAGTTGTCCCAAAAAACAAATACATATATATATATATATATATATATATATATATATATATATATATTTTAGTTGGATTGATGTGAGTTTGTGATCATCAGACAAACTATTTATATACACTCACATTTTACATATATATATATATATATATATATATATATATATATATATATATATATATATATATTATTTATTTATATATATAGACATATATAAGTAAATAAATATATATATATTTAAATAAAATATATGTATGTATGTGTGTGTGTGTATATATATATATAAATAAATAATATATATATAGCCATATATATTCATATATAAATAAATATATATATATATAGTCATATATAAATAAATAAATAAATATATATATATATATATATATATATATATTTGTTATAAGTTATTACATTACAATTAAGCTACCACTACAAAAATGCATATTTGTTTTGATGCCCAATTCAGACATCTCATCAGGTTGTGATCAAAGTTAGTTATAAGCGATATTTTTAAAAAATTCTAGTTATGAAACATCACTTCTTTTTATATTTTCAAAAATTAGAAATACATAAGAAAAATTTCCATAAAAGGAAAAGAAAGAAAAGTATAATTTTACCATAAAAGAAAAAGAAGGAAATACACAGATTGAAGCAGAAAAAAGAAGAGCACAAGAAATCAATAAAAGGAAAAAGAAAGAAGAAAGACAAATAGAAAGAGGTAGGGAAAGAAAGACATAAGAAATAATCCCTTCTCCAAAGAAAAAGAAATGGAAAGAAGAGAAGTAATATATCAAAAATTACAATTGCAAAGAAAAAGAAAAGAAAGGAAAGGAGAGGGGAAAACAGGATAAGTTGTTGATGATAATTTAGCCAATGAAAAAATGTTAATGTTGAGAGGGATATAATAAAGAAGTGTAGCAGTTTGTAGGCCATATAGTGTTTTGAAAGAAGTCACATACTTTAAACAAAATTAAACATAGTATGTAAATAAAAGACACTTTAAGAAGAAAAAAAAACATTAGAAACATATTGCTCTACTTTTGTATTGAGCTCTCTATTAAATTAATGTTATGAATGTTTGAATTTATATTTGTTTTCTCTTTACATTTGTATTTGTACACACACACACACATATATATATATATATAATTATATTTTATTTATATATATAATTAAATATATATGTATATACATTTATTTATATATATAATTAAATATATATGTATATATATTTTATTTATATATATAATTAAATATATATGTATATATATTTTATTTATATATAAATTAAATATATATATAAATATATATATATATATATATATATATATATATATATTTATTTATATATATAAATAAATATATATATATATATTTATTTATATATATATATAACTAAATATATATATATATATATATATATATATATATATATTTATTTATATAATGTATATATATGTATATATATATATATATATATATATATATGTTTTGTTCCTCACCACTTGTCACAACTCGTATTTTCCTGCACAGGACAATTGTCAGGTTATATTCAGCCACTTGAATCTAGAGTTTTGTAGATGAACCTTTTTGCAAATGTTCAATCCACTCTTCAGGTGGTTTCAGCATCTAACTACCAGTTTTCTCGTTTTGTGTTTTTTTTTTAATACCAAGTTGGATGATGTAATTTGTTTATTCACTTATTATTTCTTTTAGGTTACACATATAAAACAAACAAAAACATTCTGGTTTTTGGTTGTCAGATCTGATAAGGTAATTTCATTGATTACCTCTCTTATGGTATCCTGGGTAAGACGATAAACTACATCCAACAGCAAAGCTTCTGATCAAGAGGTTTTGAGGAGTGTGGGACCACCTCTTAATTGCTGGTGTTCCCAGGTCCACACTGACCTGGGGTGGTAGCACCAGTTTGGGACCCAGCTACAAGCAAATAGTTAACCCCCAAACTAATGTCAAAACACTATGAAAGTGTAAAAATAGGTTTTAATTCCAGCAATACATTTTTGTAAAATTATTACCAGTAATACATTTTTTTAAGAAAAAAACATTACCAGCAATACATTTGTTGAAAAAAATATTACCTGCAATAAAAATCTTGTCGACTTTAAATAACCCATTGAGGTTGGTATGCTGTAAAACAAAACAAACACACCTTTCTTATCCTCAGAAATTCCATTGCACACACACACACACACATATGCACACATGCACAGACACACACACACACACACACATATGTATATGGTTTTCAAATTTGCTATATTCATAGGTGAAGAAATCAACACTGCATGGTGGCTGTCAATTTCATACCTCAAGCAATCTTCAGATCAAGTGTCACAACTCCTTGCACAGGCTTTATATATAGACCCCAGTGCGAGCATGATGCAGTATCATTATTCTCTGTCTACATCTGTCTATGTATGAATTAAGTATAAAGTTTAGAAAAAAAAAAGAAAATAATTGTATTTACTTATTTTATGTGGGTCCCTCAAGAAAAAACTCTATAGATTTCCAAGTGTTTGTTAGTCTACAAAAGAGATCATTTAAATATTTAATAAATTTCCTGCTTTGTAAAAATCTTTGCAAGTGAACAAAATGTTTCTTTCTTTTGCTAGTTATGGCTACAAGACATGGGAATGGAAGAATGGACTGCGAGGTTTTCTCTATCCTTCTGTGTTTGTTGTCCTCTTCAAATTCTTGGATATTTTTCGACTTGATTATCGCATTCTCCTGGTAAGAACTAAAAATGGTATTGTTTGCTTTGTGTGAATTTTTTGCATGATGTTACCTTTTATGATAAAAAGTTTGACAGACTTTTCATTAATATCTTATAAATCTTCTTAAATTATTATTTGCCACAGTTAAAGACTTTAAACTGAATCCTTATCTGTAGTTTCGCATTAATCTCTCATTGGATTAGAGTCCTAATCTCCTTATACAAACCACTTAGGACTGAAGTATTTTAATATGCTTTTGGTCTTGATGGATTATAGTTAAGTCATGCAGAATTCAAGATCAAAACTCTTAATAAAGAAAATGTGCTTCCTAATATTTTCTTTATAAAAACTTTCAATATCTAGGCCAGTAGACATTAATTTCACTGTGTAAAAAATAAAAATAGATGTCTACTCAGTCACGTCTGATTCTTTGAAATGGAAAAAGTTATCAATTTTAAATTTTTTCATTTGTATCTCCTTACTTCTTAAAATAGTGCCTAGCATTCATATTTATGATTGTTATTGCAATATTTTGTTAAAGTTGTCAAGTTCAAATATTTAACAATGCAATAGGGCAATATTCACAGGGATTTTATTGTCGTAGAACTTGTAAGGAGCTTACTCAATCATTAACTTAAGAATTAGGATTCATCAGAAAATTTGATGTAATGGAATAACCTGTCACCCCTATGATTGACTACACTATAGGTAGTAACTGCCTATAAGTATCTGTAAGTCAATGGACTACAGAGTCTAGCTGCGACCTGTTCCAGCTAGACAGTCGAACTCTCTGCCTTCGGGCAGAGAGGAACCTAGACGAGGCTCCGCCAAAGGGCAGAGTCTCGTTTGGGGGGGTTTACTGCCCCTGAATCCGTTTATCTGGTTCAGAAGGGAATGGGCTCAGAGAACCCATGTTAAACTGGCCTTGTGCCACATGCAACCCTTGTGGGTGGGTAGCTAAATATACTAGCTGGGATCTGTTGAGTACAACAGACTTGCGCGAAAACTACTGACCTTCCAATAATAGCACTCACTACTGCATTGACTTGCGACGACCTTGTGCATAACTGTTACCTTTATTCTTATTGTACTGGTTTTTACAATAAACCTTTACTTATTTTATCCACCGTGTTTTTCAAGTATATATTCCTATTAGCATGGAATATAACAAAATTCAAATAGCAAAAATATAAGTTGTTACTGCTACTAAAAGTTACTATTAGGATATTTTGTTAAGTTGTTATGCTCAAATATTTAACAATGTGATAGGTGAATTTCTACATATATTTTATTGTCATAGAACTTGCCATGAGCTTACTCAATCATGAACTTAAGAATTAAGATTCATCAGAAAATTGATATAAGAAAACTGAAATTTTCACAAGTATTTCTAGTGTAGATTATTTGCAAACAAATATTATCAACAAAGTATTTACTTACTTTCATACATTCAACTGTTGAAAAGTGTTGAGAAGAAGGAAGGACTTCTCACTGGGTTTTTGGTTTGTTTTTTTTTTTTTTTGTTTTTTTTTTTTTTCAGACAATAGTTGAGTTTTACAAATTGTGATTCAAAAATAAGATAAATGTCATACTTGCATATTAAGTTCAAAATCCAGATTAATACCTCAAATATTTGGGACAAACTTTCATAAATAACTATAGAAAGATAATCATATACCTGTCTAAATTTGTAAAATCTTCTTTCTGCTTCTTCCTTTTCTTCTGTTTCTTTCTTTTCTTCATTATTATCATTGTTGACTTTTAGTTTTTCTTTGTTCAGATCCCTGAAGCAGCTCATTGTCATTTGCTCATGAAAGCCAAGAGTCTTCTCTTTCTTTTTAGCTGTACTTGGATGACTTTTGCCTGTGAAAGCTAAAACTCTTCTGTCTGTCAGAAAAAACAGACTTCATAAATAGCCACAAATTGGCTCTGAATTGAATCAAAAATTGGATACAGTGGCATAACTTACTTTCTCCACTGGTTAAAAACTTACAAAATTTTTCTTTTTAAACCATGCTTGTCCGAAAATTTTATTTTGACCAATTTTAAGACCATCAAACTTGAGTCTCTTTCTTTTTTTTTTTATAAAATTCTGGAAACCAAATTTTATATATGTTTCTTTTTTTTTTTAAACTGTCAAGCATCATTTCGGCAGTTTTTGCAATATGAACTCTTATACATGCAATACTCACAAACTATCTACTTACTTTTTTATATTTATCTTTTAAATACTTTTTATATAATTTTATATTTATTTATTATATAAATTGTTATAATCTCCACTCAAAAGAAAATGTAATAAACACACCTATTCTATTATTTTTTATTTACCCATTAATTATTTTATATAATTTTATATTTCTTTTTATTATAATTTTTTTTATAATTTTCCTTTTTCAGTGTTGATATGATTTTATTTCCAACTTTTGTAAAAAAAAAATGTACAAAATTGTATAAATATGATTACGGTGAATGCAAATACTAACTCCACATTATTATTATTGTCAAGTTGAAAATAGAAGTGGAAATTCTTTATTCTTCAAGTCTGAATATTGCTCTAACAAAAATCTTGCTATGATGTGCTGTTTTTTGTTTTTTAGTGTTACAAAAAAAAGCACACTCACAAATTATAATTCATTCAGGCTTATACAAAGTTTTAAAAATGTGTCAAAACAGAAAAATAAATTTGAATTGTAGAAATGTTTTTATTGGGGTTCAAAACCTCTATTAACACTTTAATTTTCATTATGCACACAAGACTGGGAGTTAACTTCAGAAAACAATTGTGTTCCCCTAAAGAGTTGCTATAACAATACTAAGGCCAGATATGGTGTAGATCTAAGAAGCCACTTGGTAAATCATTTATTTTTGATCACAGATCCTTACAAAGACTGCATTGGGAAGATTGATCAAACTACCACCAATGTTCTGTAACTTGAAAGCCCAACTTGGTCACCAAAATTTACTCACTGATTCCATCTGGGGATCCTTTTGCCCTGGCCATTGACGTCAATCTGAGAAGCTCTCTATCCATCAATATCATGTCATTGTTCTTCAGTATGTGGCATATTTTTCAGACTATTTCTTGTTTTGCTCCATGTAATATTCGTTATCTGCTCATTGGTTCCAGCAGACTGAAGATGTAAAAATATTCTGCAAAGAATTTATCAGAATCATTCTATTATGATAGAATACAAAATTTAGGTGTAAAAAAATTTTTTTTCAATACTGGAAAATTTTGCATCAACATTTGGCTAAAGTAAAGCAAGAAAGGACTAACTATTAATTGTAAGATGGTAGAATGCATGGTCATCAGCAAAAGTGACAACCTAAGTTGTAATATACATATTGGGGATGTTAAAATCAAGCAGCTACAGAAATTTAACTAATTGGGTAATGTAGTAAGTGCTTTAAATTGTGACACCTAAATCTGAAGATACGTGAGAATAGTGAAAGATGCCTTTCAGAAACTAAGCAAAGTATTAAAACAAATCATTAGAAGAAACAAAGAAATGAGTGCGAAACTGCTATGTAATATCTATCTTCCTAATAGAAAGCAAGAAAAAAGGACTAATTATTAAGAAGATTGATTGTATGGTTATCAGCAAAAGAGTCAACCCAAAGTGTGAGCTGCCAGATGGGATGTCAGTATCAAACAGGTATAGAAATTTATCTATCTGAGTAGTACACAGAAATCCAAAGATGTATAGAAATAGTGGAAGATGCTTTTTTAAAGCTAAGTATGAAAATATATCATTAGAAGAAGCAAAGAAAAAAGTACTGAACTGCTATTTATTATCTATTTTCCTATATGATAGTGAATGCTGAACAATTTCTTCACAGATGAGAATGAGACTTGAAGTAACAGATGTGGTCCTACTGACAAATGCTAAGAATCCCATGAACGGAAGATGTGAGCAATGAGGAAGACCTAAGGAAAATAAGAACAAGTAAAATTAGACTTACAATCATAGACAGGTGAAATTTCTGTGAAATAATGAGAAAACAGTGTTTAGAGAATATAATACTCACAGGAGATATTGAAGGCAAGAGAAGCAGGGGAAACAGCAAAGTAATAATGGAAAACAAGGATTAACTATTAACAGTAAGAAGGCAAAATACATAGTTTCAGCAAAAGAGACAACCAAAGTGTGAACTACATAGTGGGGATGTCAAAAGTAGTACAGAAATCTATCTGGGTAGTGTAGTAACAGATGATAGAAAATGTGATACAGTTGTCTGAAGGCATGTATGAATAGTAAAGGATGCTTTCAAAAACTAAGCAAAGTATTATGATATAAGAAAATGTCATTAAAAATAAAGAAAAGACAGCTGAACTTGTGTGTCATATCAATCCTCCTATATGGCAATAAATGAGGAACATCTAAGAGACCTGAAGCAACAGAGATGTGACTGCTGACAAATGCTAAGCATACTGCAGCCAGAACATGTGAACAAGGAAGAAGTCAAAGAAAAATAGGAACTACAAGAAAACCGATACTTAGAAGTAGAAATAGACATCAGAAATTTCAGCAACATAATGAGGAAAGAGGGTTTGGAAAATGTAACACTCATAGGACATATTGGAAACAAGAGAAGCATAGATAAACAGTGAGTGACCGACTTAACAAATTTGTGTGAATGAATGGCAAAACAAGGACAGAGACGGATGGTAAAAAGTTAAAAGTTACTTCGAACAACAAAAGATGGGAAGTTGTGGAGAGTCATGATTGTGCATAATTAATGAAGAAGAATGCTTATCACCAATCCTTTCATCTGTATGCACTTTAATTTGACATATTTAAATTTTCCTTTCTTTTTTTTTTTTTTTTTTTTTTTAAATAATTTGATACAAAACTTATTTAAAAATTGACTTATCTTTCTTTTTCAGATCAAACTGCCAAGAATTTTACAAGGGATTCTTGCAGCTACTGGGGACTTGTATTTATACAAATTATCATCTCGTTTAAGTAACAAAAGTGTGGCCCAATGGACGCTGGTCTGTCAGCTTCTCTCCTGGTTCACCTTTTACACCTACACTCGGACACTGACCAATGGGGCTGAGACAGCTCTCACTGTTATTGCTCTTTATTACTACCCCTGGCCAGCCACTAAATCTGTGTAAGAATTTTACTATTCCCAAAGAATATTCTTTCAAAGAAGAGAGTAAGGGCAAGAGTGAATAGAGAAAGGGATGAGAAAGACATGTTGGCATGTGTTAACAGATAAAACCATGAAAATTAAGAAGTGAAGAAACAGAACTAATAGTAGAAATTGGCCCTCCCCCACTTGGAACGTTGACACAACACAGTAGTACTGTTCTTTATTTGTGTACTTAAATATCTATTGAGCTTAATTTAATCTGATGCAAAGCTGTAAGTCTGGAAATTTCAGTAACGCATAGATTCACTAACAGTGACTTATAAATCTTGATTACTAACGATTGCATTAAAATAGGAATCACAGTGTTATCAAGAATCTATCTATCTATCTATCTATCTATCTATCAATCTTCTTTTAAACAAATTTGTATCAGTCAGTATAGAGGAAACACTTAGCAATCATTAATCTACATTTTCTATCTCACGGTGTTTATATCTGTCTGTCTGTCTCAGGGTGTTTATGTCTGTCTATCTCAGTCAGTTCATATCTGTCTGTCTGTCTCAGTCAGTTCATATCTGTCTACTTCACACTGTTACACCTCAGAAAGAGATAAAGTTTAGACCATTACTTAAATTTCCCCCTACCATGATCTTTCTTCTTTTTTTTTTTTTTTTACTTAGTTTACTTTTTTTTCCCTGTTTTCTTACATCATTCTTTTTCTTTGTTTTTGGTTTATTTGTTGTTAGTTTTTCTTTTTATTAAGCTTCTTTTTGGTCTCATGGTAGGCTTTCTATTGGTTGAACCAACACTTTTTGTATATATATATATATATATAAGAGGTGTATTTAGGCAGCAATGATTCTTTCTTATTTTATTATTGTTTTATTGAACAATACTGATAAGCTCTGTCTGTCCAACTTTTTATTTAGTTTTTCCGACATCTGACAACTCTATTTTATGTCAGAACTAAAAATGGTAAACTTTCCAAAGTTCATTTTTTTTTTTTTTGCATTCAAGTACTTTCAAATGCCATTACAGTCATTATCAAGAATTGTCTGTTTATCAAAATGTATACACTATTTACATTGTTCAAACTGTTGTCCTCATCTTAATTGTCATATTCACAATGTTTCAGCCATTGTATGCTCTGGCCTTCTTCAGGTGATCTACATTGAAATTTTGAACGAACCGTTTATTCAATCCACCAGGGTAGATTGTTCTAGTTCCACATGCCATGCCTCTTCTGGATATCTCAGTTTCAGTTATTTCCCTTTAGTAACTCAACTCTTCAAGTATTTGTTCAGCTGTGCTGTGGCCAGGTATTGAACAAAATTGACAAGCTCTGTCTGTCCAGGATTAAGTCTCTGGATTACTTCAGCCAAAGCTTTTATCCACTGGGTCAGTGGATGAAATAATGGATTTGGTTTGAAATTCTATTGTATATCAGGTGAAAAAGGCCAGAATGTAAAAAATCTCAAATGTGAATATGACAATAAAGATAAGGACAACAGTTTGAACAATGTAGATAGTTACAATACTTCATCTCAGAAATGTAGACAGTTATCAAAATGTGTTTGCCAAATTCCAGGGTTTTTAGTTTGCTGGAATTTAAGCCACTTAAAGGTGATGACATTTACAATTCTCAAAGAATATTACTTGTTTTTTTTTAATCTAAAGTGTCAGCTACTGAGAATGTAAAAGCCAAGCAACTGCAGATATTCAACTACCTAAGTTGAATGCACATAGGAATAGCTAAAGATGTCTTCAAGAAACTAAGCAAAGTATTAAGAGACAAAGAAAATAGAGCTGAACTGCTATGTAATAACTAATATGGCAGTGAATGCTGGGCAATCTCTTCATAGATGAAGAAGTAACTTGAAGCAACAGAGGTGCGGTTCTGCTGACAAATGCAAAGAATACCAAGGACAGAACTCAGCAACAAGGAACTTTTTAAGAAAATAGGAACTACAAGGAAACATATACTTACATTCAGAATGAGTCAACATTTCTGAGATACATAATGAGGAAAGTGGGCTTGGAGAATTTAACACTCACAGTATATACTAAAGGCAAGTAGGGAGGAACAGCAAATAACCTACTTAATGACTTTGCGTGAATAGATGCCAGAGTAGGGACAAAGAGGGAATGTATAGGATCAAAATTATTTAGAGCAGTCATGAGTAAACTGCACATCTCAGTTGGCTTTCTGAATGGCACACCTAATTTAATGAGGAAAATAATGTTTATTAAAACTTTGTGTTTTGTTTCTTCTCACTTGTTCACTCACATTCTCTCTCACACAAAGTGGATGTCAAAGGGAAATAACTATTAAATGCTTGAGTAACTGTACTTACTTAATAATGCCTGTTGTTTTTGGTACAGTTCAGCAAAATCATATACATAACAATGATTGAGTATAATATTTCTTGAATTTTGTAACTTTTCATTGATGGTAAAGTTCTCAGCATTTTAAACAATTGCCAATTTTCATTGAGGAAGATCATATGTATAAAAATATTTTGCTTTAGAAATGAGAAATGTGCATATTAACTTTTTTCTCTGGAGAAGTAATATATATTTCTTTTTCTTTGAAAAAGATCTTTTTTTTTTCATTTTCAAATGGATAAATTAGAAACAAATCACATGCAACAGCTTAAGAACTTCAATAAAAAATCTTTTCTCCAAATAAAAAATATCAACTTTTTCCTCATTTTTAGGGCAGGTCTTCTGTAGCGAAAATGGTAGCTTTACTTTCAAGGAAAAATTACTTTGAATTTTTTATTAGTGGGACCTGCTTTATGATGAGCCATATCTCCTGTGGTCCACTGGCCAGTAAAGGTTGCCAGTGGCTGATTTAGAGCAACAAAAAATAGGAAGTTGTGGAGAGCCATGATCGCCCAATTAAAAGAAGAATTACAGCTTCAGGCTTGTGAATATCGCATGGGCTTGCACCGTTGAATGTTGCTGCTAAAATACAGCTATGATTAGGTTTTTTTTTTTCCTCCTATTTTAATGAATTTTTTTCATATAATATTTTTTGCTTTTTAGTTTTTTTTTTTTTTTTTTTTTTTTTTTTTCCAGAGGTCAAAATTCCACCATCAAATTTCTTTTGCTGGCTGGTATCTCTGTGATTGTACGTCCAACTGCTGCTATTACATGGATTCTGATGTGTGGCTGGCATGTCCAACGACAGTTTTCTATTAGAATTTTTCTTCAGTATTGCTTTGCAATGTGAGTTCCAATTCAGGTTTTCTCTTATATTGTAATCATTTTATTGTTAATTGCAATACATTGCAGTTAAAATACTCTTAATTTAGAACAACTTTTTCTAACTAGGGTTACCCCTGACCTCTGGTGTTGTGTGAGATAGTGATAAAACATAATATACAAAAATAATATACTGGCAATCTTTATCCTTCATGCCCACAAAAAACGGTGTGTCAACAGGACGGTTTTTCCCTTAACACCACTATTATTTTAACTACCCTTCACTCTTCAGTCATGTATATTGTTTTAAAAAAGCAATGATTAGAATTTTAATTAAACCTAAACATATGCAAGTGAATTTATACATTTTCTTTGTTCTTCTAACAAAATAAGAAACATTATTAAATTGTTTATTTACATTATTCATTTATGATATTGTTTATTGGAATGGCTAATTGCCAATCAATTCGAATTTTATAAAATGGTAAATAATAAAGATTTCCTTAAAGTTGGTTCACATATTTTGATAATTTAGTTAAATGTTTATAAATTTATGAAAAAAATTATATATTTATTTCTTTATAAGTTGGTAAATGATGAATATTGAATTGCATTAGTTTTAATACAATTGTTTTTAGAATGTTGTAAATCTAAAATTATACTTGTAAATAAACAATCTAATAATTAGTATTTAATATTTTTGTTATAAATTCTCAAGAAAAAAATGTATAAATTCACTTTCATCATATGTTTAGGATTTGTTACAATTCTGATCATCGCTTTTTACTTTTCGTAAAATACATCTATTGGATGCTTTAGTACACATCATCAGTGATGTTTCAAGCCGAGGTTCATTAGGGATTTGGGGTCTTTCAACATCATACCCTCTCTCCACGGTGACCCAGCTGATGGGTATCAACTTGTGTACCTTTCGTCTGCTACAGTTTTTTCTATCTTCCAACATGCACACCATACGACTCTTCTTGGCAATTTATTGTCCAATCCCGGGTGACTTCCGATCCACCAGCAGTGTACGCTCTTCCATAAAAAATGAAGGAAATACAGCCACAATTTCTATCTGATCAGGAATATGGCAGTGTGCTTGGCTTGAAGTAGTAAGTACAGGTTTGCCCCCCCCCACACACTCCTAGACACATACACACACAGAGCAATAAACATTGCTGAGGAGTGAAGGTAATTAAAATGTTAGTGGTGTGTCAAGGGAAAAACTGTCCTTTTGATTCACTATGCATTGTACTTTCTCCTGGTGAAAAGACAATTGATTTGATTTTTAGTAAAAGACAAAGTGACTTTGGTGTACTGAAGGCAGCCATAGGGCTGCCTTCAGTACACCAAATGTACACCAAATGTAGCAGCATAACTAACAAGGCCCACTATGGAGCAAAAAACAAAGTCACTAAACCATATTTTGAGCTACATACCTAATTGCATATTATGTTATGACTGTGTCACATATTTGATGGATTTTAGTAAATAAAAAATCGTCAAATATTAAGATATAATGAATTGTAAATTTCTGAAGTTCTAAATTGCATTTTTTTCCATTTTCCTTTCCAGTGGGACATGCCTTTTGCTCTCTATCCTGGTTGACTTTGTCGGTTATGGGCGCCTTGTTCTTGTACATTACAACTTTTTCCATTTTAATGTAATGTCTGATCTTGGAGCTTTCTATGGTTCCCATCCATGGTACTGGTATTTCTTGCAAGGCTACCCTGTTGTCATGGCAATGCACCTATTGCCTTTCATCTTTGGTGTTGTAAAAGCAAAGAACAAAGTACTCTTGGTACTTATTCTATGGACAATGCTAATCTACAGGTAAGATATTTCCCACATTATTATTATTATTATTACTTACTATATGTAGCACATATTTGGCTGCTCTGCAGTTATGGCCTAAAATGCACCAACTGTGTTCCCTATAGAGGAGTAACCCCTCCACAATCTGAAAGGACCCATCTATCAAATAATTGCTTACAAACTCAAATATTAATGACCAATATATACCTATCCCTAAACCAAGTAAATACTTACAGATTCAAATATAAACCACCAATATTTACCTATTCCTTAACCAACCAAATGATTATAGGCTTAAATCTAAGCAACCAATGTGTACTTATCTTTGAACGAAGTAAATCCTTATAGACCATATATATATATTGACTTTTAATATATGGCTTTTTTTTCATCACAGTTAATATAAAAGGTAAATTAGAAAAATTTCAAGCTTTATAATTATTTAATGGCTATGAATTGAAACTCCATTGGGTTAAAATGTATGTTTTATGTTAATGTGTATGTAACAAAAATGTGTGTAAGTTTTATTCATGTCTTGCAGCTCTCAAACGTCTGAACTTTATCAAATTTGGCTCTTAAATTAAGCAAGTTTGGCCACTCCTGTTATAGACCCAAATATAAATTACCAATATTTACTTGTCTGTGAACCAAGTAAAAATTTACAGACTCAAATATGAACCAGGTAAATGCTTATAAACTGAATTATAAAGAGCCAATATTTACCTGTCAACAAACCAAATAAATACTTAAATATAAATGAACTGTATTTATCTATTCCTGAACAAAGTAAATGCTTACAGACTCTGATATAAACAGCCAAGATTTACTTATCTCCGAATCCAGTAAATGCTTATAGACTCAACTAACTATAGTTAAAAAAAGACTGATTTTGATATTAAATATTCCAAGTGTTGGTATTTCATAAAATCAACCAAGCAACCCTGCTTGTATTTCACTATACAGGGTTGCTCGGTTCTTTGAAGACCCATCTTTTAATAACTCTAATTTGTTCTGATTATCATTTCTTTTCTGATAAAAGGATGACTAGCATTAACACAATTCAGCAAATGGAAAAGTTGCATGGTAATTGTTGCCTTAAAGACATTGCATAGTGATTCAGCGATTACTTGCTTCTTTAAAGTTTGCAAAGAGCTGAAATCTGCTGATGGGAATTCTAAAGCAGGAGCCAAATGTAAAATGCCTACTAAAGGTCTTTTAGTTGGCATAATAACTTGGACTGATTTTAAATGTGAATTAAGTTTAAGCGTCTAATGATTTTTTATTTTTTCTTTCAGATTTAACAACTTAAGTTTTTGGCAATTTCAACCACGGAAAGATTAACTATCAAACATATTAAAGTTTCAAGAGTGCAATTGGAAAAATTGTTCATAAATTCAAACAAACTGGGTCGGAGGCAGATGTGAAAACACCATTGCATGCTCGTTTATGCTATTGCTGCAGTGCATGAGAATGTGGCCAAAAATCCAGACACCTCTATTCGTCATTGTGTGCAGGAATTGAACCTCTCCACAACAATGTTACATCATTTCCAATTGCACTCTCAGTTGGTTGATTATGTTGACCAAAAAAACGTGAAGTGTGCAAAATACATTTTGTTTGAATGACCATTTTTGTAATAGGTTTCGATAACTTTAACACGTTATTTGATTGTTAATCTTTTCATGAAATTGTCAAGTTGTTAAATCTGAAGGAAAAAAGAAAAAATCATTAGACGCTTAAATTTAATTCACATTTAAAATCGGTCCACGTTATTGGAACACCCTTTACCGTCAGAACACTCAAATTTTAGAAAATCAATTTAGACCATTGTTAAGGAATTCAAGGTTTCAAAGCACTCTGTCAGAAGAATTGTTCATGGTGACCTTCGTTACAAGTCATGAATGATGCAGGAAGGCCAATTTCTGTCTCTAAAGATAAAAGATAACTGTCTGATCCATGCAAAGCACTTGTTGAGCAAGTTGAAGCATCAAGAGCCTGGAATGCTTTGGTTGTTCTCTGATGAGAAAAACTTTAGTTAGGACTGAAACATCAACCAAAAGAATGACAGGCGCTTATGCAGAGAGTTTAAGGATGTTTCAATGGTCATGCACACAGTTTCCAGCAATTGTGTTGGTTCTGGGAGATAGCACTTCTTTCCTCAGGGCTCCACAGTCAATGCTGCTGAATATAAGGAGGGGTTGGAGAGGGTTGTCAGGCCTTGGATAGAGACTGTGTGTGAAGGAAGATTGTACACCTGTCAAAAATACTCTGTGCTATCTCATACGGCTAAGATGACTCAAGAATGGATGCTTCAGCGTTTGTTGGGCATTCACCCAAATGCTTCAGCCTTTGTTGGGAAATCACCCAAATTGTTGTGCTATCACCCAAACTGTTTTATTGTTTGTTGAGCAATTACCCAAACTGTTTTAGCCACTGTTGGGCAATCACCCAAACACTTTCGGCTATTATTGACCAATCAGCCTAACTATTTTTGCCTTTGCTGGGCAATCACCCAAACTGTTTCAGCCTTTGTTGGGCAATCACCCAAACTGTTTCAACCTTTATTGGGAAATCACCCAATTTGTTGTGCAATCACCCCAACTATTTCATTGTTTGTTGTGCAATCACCCCAACTATTTCATTGTTTGTTGTACTATCACACAAACTGCTTTGGTCATTGTTGAGCAATCACCCAGACTGCTTTGGTCATTGTTGAGCAATCACCCAAACTGTTTCAGCCCTTATTGAGCAATCAGCCTAACTATTTTTACCTTTGCTGGGCAATCACACAAACTCTTTTGATCTTTACAAACTGAAACCATTTGATATCAAGTAAATTCATAGGTATTGCATGTCAGTTCCTCTGTTGTCCTGATCTGGTCTCACTGTTATAGAAGAGAATTTTACAGATACAACTTTGTTTTTACAGTGGTGCTTTTACAGTAGCACACTCTGCCAATGAATTTTATTCATGGCTGCAGCAACTTTGTGGATCAGAGAGAATATTTGATGGTTTGATTTCTCATACTCTACATGAAAAGTGGTCTTGGATACATTTAGTGGTGATTCATTTCCTGTCCCAGAGAGACAATAGCTCGTAATTCATCCTTTTTTATGGGCTTGCACTGCTCATGCACAATGCTGGCATACATCTCCACTGCCTAAGCCAAGGATTTGAACATTGGACAGCATGGAATGAAACAAACATAACTGGTGATTGTTCAACTATATATTAATTTCATACAGAGACGTTACTCATGTGTGATCCCATTGAGAAATGCTTGGAAACTATAATTTAGGTTGATCCAAACCTTGTGAGTGAAACTGTGTGGACAGAACTATTTAAAAGTTGCCAATAATTGTGCTATCACTAAGTCACAAGTCATTGTGACTGAGAGTTTGAGCCTTGTGACCTGGTTCAACTAATGATCATACCAAATTATGTGCTTTCTCCCAGAAACTGTAACTATCGTCAACTCAGCATAGTTGCAGTATAAGGTTGTCTGTGTGGGTGTAGAAGAAAAACGAATGTGCCTTGGCAAGTGTCTGCAACAGGGATTAGCTAACCACCCTATTCGATGGGTATACTCGGAAACAATCAGCCAGCTGTTACCATTCCTAATTGTTTATTTTAAATGTTTTTTGTTCCTTTAATGATTATACTTAACTCAGTTTAGTATGCAGCTTCCAGTGAGATTCAGCTTCATTACTCAGCAATAATGATCAACCAGACTAGCTCTTTAACCATTACGCCAATCTGAGGTGCTACTTTTTTGTTCTCTTTATATATGCATAAGGCTTTTTTTTTTCTTTAGACTCTTCTTTATCTTTAATGGCATTGTCTGGTACTATATATCTCAAAATTCTTGATAAAATTCAAAGAAGGGTCTGTAATGGTATCACAACTTGACATAGCTTTCCTCTCACATTTCTATATATATTTTCATGGCAGTTGTTCTAATAATTTTCCTCCTTGGTACATTGAATTTAAGTGTACTACTAGATTGGCAATTAGGTCTCATTGTTTTACTGTTAGAAATAGCTAGATGTAACCGTCAGTTTTATTCTAATGTTTTTTTTCTCATAGTTCTCACCTTTGGAACTATTCTGATTTTTTTCCTTTCCTGCCACCTATAATCTTCAAAAGTTTAAAAGCAATTTCAATTGCCATTTTCTGTTTTTCTGAAACCTGTTCTTTTATTGTCCTTTGTCCTCATTAAATTCTCATTCTCTTTCACTTGGGAATTTTTTGTTTGATAGATAATTTTTAGTGCTGGTTTTGAGTCCAAATTTTTGGCGACAATGGCTCTCCACTACTTCCTGTCCATTATAACTCTCAGCAACGTTTTACTATTTACTATCTGTTCTTGGATATATATTTTTCATAAAAAGTTTATATAAAAATAAATAGTTCAAATTATTACAATAATATTATTTATTATTATACAGTTCCTTTTTCAGGGCCACCCCCTATTCAAATTGCTAACCCCCCATTTAGGGATGTGCCTCAGTTGCACCCAAATGTTGTTACTAATATTGATTTTCAGGTGGGCTGACTTTAAACTTAAACTGCTCCAATTGAATGGCAAAAATTCCCAGTAATGAAAGACCCGGTCAAAGATGGGTTATACTGCTAGTATTAACTAGTTATTACTTTGATATATTAATTTGTTTATTAATGATTTTTCTTTAAAGAAATTGCATTCAAATTTTCTATCATTATAATATAATTCTGCTTGTTCCTAGTTATTTAGCATGCCCATTATATCCTGCCATTGCCTCAGATAAATAATGGGCCATTCCTGTTTGATTGCAAGCATTGACAAAAGAAAAGGTATATCTAAGGCACTGTTTGTAAGGAAGGGAAAAGAAAAAAAAGTGAAGATAGAGGAGGTGATAACACTCTCATTTGTTTCACATCTGCATCAGTGAAATGGAAAACCTTGTTAATATCAAATCTTTTCATTTGTACCCCCTTACTTCTTAAAATAATGACCAGCATTCATATTTATGATTGTTATTGCAATATTTTGTTAAAGTTGTTAAGCTCAGAAATTTAACAACACAATACAGGAATTTCCATGGATATTTTATCATTCTGAAATTTGCAAGGAACTTATTCAGTCATTAAGAATTAAGATACATCAGAAAATTAAAATAGAAAATTTTCATGAATATTGCTTGAAATATATTATCATAAACCTGAATAGTTTTGCTCTTTCTTTTCCAGTTTCCTCAGTCATAAAGAATTCCGCTTCCTGTTACCCATAGTCCCTCTGTCAATGTATTACTGTGGAATCTTCTTTCACTCTTTGTGTCAAGATACAGAATCAGCAGAAAGTGAAAGTGAAAGTTCTCTGGCCAGTGACAATGTGCGCCAACCTTCTGGTCGGAGACAGGTTAGCAGTAGCGGAGATGATGAGCACAAATCTCGGCTATCCATGGTGTACATCCTGCTGATTCTTCTGCTAGTAACTAATGTGCCTATAGCCCTTTATTTTAGTCTCATCCATCAAAGAGGCACTGTGACAGTTATGAAATACCTGCATGATGAAGACGTAAACAGACCAGCCAATGTCCTATTTTTAATGCCTTGCCACTCAACACCTTATTACAGGTAAGGGATACTGTCCACTTTCTAATGTTCTGCCACTCAACACTTTACTACAAGTAAGGGGATACTGTCCACTTTCTAATGTTCTACCACTCCAAGGGGATATTGCCCACTTTGGATCCCCTGCCCCTTAACATCTTATTATAGATAAGGAGACACTGTCCTTTTTCTAAAGCTTTAAGACTCCATGCCTTATTACAGATAAAGAGACACTTTGTCTGATGCTCTGACACTCAATATGTTATTACTGGTAAGGTGACATTGTCCATTTTATAATACTCTATAACACAATACCTTATTACATTTAAGGGGACACTGTTTCTTTTCTGATGCTCTGCCAATCACTGCTGTATTACTGATAATGAGACACTGTTATTTAATTCCCTGCCACTCAGTATCTAATTACAGGATCAGGAAACACTGTCCTCTTTCTAAAGTCCCACTACTCAATGCTTTATTATAGGAAAGGAGACATTATCTACTTATTAATATTCTTCCATTCATTTCTTTATTACAGGTAAGGAAATACTGTCCTCTTTCAAATTCCTCTTATTATAGTTAAAGAGACACTTTTTTTTTTAATGCCATGCCATGCCATGTCATTCAACACTACGTAAGGGGACACTGTCTACATTCTAATGCTATGTCACTCAATGCTTTATTACAGTTAAGGAGACATTTTTTTAAATGCTCTACCACCTATCACTTTTATACAGTTAGGGAGACACTGTTCTTTTTCTAATGACGTGTTAAAGGGTATCTTATTTCAAGTAATGGAGCTCATTTTGTTTGAACCAGAACACAATTGATTCTTATCAGGAGGTGCTTTTAATAATCAATAGCCCTGCACCCATTTCGTTTGCCTCTCACTACTTGCAGAAAGAAATGGCAACCTACTGCGAGAAAAAAATCTGCCTCATTAGTCATGTATCAAAAGATACATGATTGCCTAAGTGTGTATCATGCATGGCACAAAACTGACTGAAGGGATTACAAAAATTTTCCATAATTTTCATTGTCCCAAGTGCTTTTAGCCACTTCTGTAGCCATTTTCAAGGGGGTGTTGTTATTTTTTCCTCATATTTTGACTGTTGTAATTAATTTCTGTGATGTTTTGAATAGTAACGGTTTCAAGCATGCCTTGCTGAAAATTATGGCTAGAAGTTAGAATGTAAAATGAATGTAGTTCTTAAAAAGAAAAGAGATTTTGAATTCTTATTTTTCAAGTTAAGACACCAGTTCCTCTACAATCACCAATGTTGAGCAATATTGGGCCTGGTCAATATCTATATGGGCAACTGCTAAAAAATAGAGATTTTGAATTCTTATTTTTCAAGTTGAAACACCAGTTCCTCTACAATCATCAATGTTAAGCAATATTGGGCCTGGTCAATATCTATATGGGTAACTGCTAAAAAATAGAGATTTTGAATTCTTATTTTTCAAGGCTTATGGCTACATCATGTTGAAACACCAGTTCCTCTACAATCACCAATGTTAAGCAATGTCGTGCCTGGTCAATATCTATATGGGTGACTACTTGGGGATACCAGGTATTGGTGGTGTAATGTATAATGACTCAGAATTGTTAATCAGAGAGCCAAGTTTCAATTTAAGTTGGATTCATTACATTGATTTATATGCAAATACCTTTGGAAAAGGTATCAAGTCACCTCTTTTCCCCAAGCTATGGGTTAATTGGTAAGACTTGTATTAGTAAATAATTATTATCTCCCCACCACCAAATCCTTCCAATCTAAAAATATTTTCTGGTTTTAAATAACCTGAAAAGGGTTCATAAGCCATAGAAAAGGAATCAATGAATCAATCCTTATTTACACTCTTTATATTCAGACTATTGTCTTCAACTTTGTTGTTTTTATTACAAGATTTTGGCTGTTCTGCCGTCTGGTCTTCCTCGGTATCTATCAATCTGGGTAACCTATAGGGAATTCTGAAATTAACTTTTATTTAATCTATGTGGTTAGACTGTTCTCATTCCACTACTCAATCTGTAAGTTACCCAGATTGGAGGACACCAAGGCTGAAATGTTATGATAAGGACAACAAAGATGAGGATAATAGTCCAAATGTAAATAGTGTAAATAATAACTCCTAATCCCAGAAATTCAGACAGAAATCAATCAATCTTATTTTCAAGGCAGGCAGGCAGGCAGGCCCTTCTCACTTGAAAATCTGGTGCAACATACAGTTTTAGCTCCATTTCCAGAAACCCTTTGGCCTTTGGTCAGAATGATAAGTTTCTTAAATGCCTAAAGTTATGCGTGTCATGTCTTTAAATGTTAATACACCAAAGATATTGATATCTTGACAAAAGTACTTATAAGCTTTGTTCATTTTTTTTGTTTTAAAAACCATCTGGCCATTTCCATATTCCTTTCATTTTTTTTTCTATTCTTTCTGACAGCTACTTGCACCGTTATGTGAAGATGCGGTTCCTGACATGTGAGCCAAATTTAAATCAGGATGTTGGTTATGTTGATGAAGCCGAACAGTTTTACAATGATCCAGTCAGATGGCTGGATGCAGAATTCACTCAACTAGCTGCACACAAACAACCAACACACATCGTCTACTATTCATCGCTCCATGACACCCTCTTGCCTTATTTAAACCAATACAACTATTCTAAATGTGCACAATTCTTCCACACACATTTCCCAGATGGAAGAGTTGATTCAGAAATCTTTGTCAGCTGTAGGCTTTAATTAACTTTGAAAAGAAAAATCCTTCGAGAATATTATTGTCTTTACTTTATAAAAAACCGTAGACAGTGTTTCAAGTACAAAATTCAGACAAAACTTTAAAAACTAGTCCCAATTCAAATTTAATTTATTTTATTTTTATTACAATTTATTTTTAATTGGAAGAAGATAAAATTCATTTTTTTCTTTATTTTCCAATTTTTCTCATTATTTTTTAATTTTTTGCACACTTTTTATTTTTTGGTAATTTTAAAGGTGACAGAACAAAACTAAAGTCTTGCATTTCATATACAGGGGTTCCTCGACTTACGACAGAGTTCTGTTGCAATGATGCAATGTTATGCAATTTTCCATGTAAATCAAAACATTCATTTGATTTTCCATGAATAAACACTTACGTCACTCACCTATGTTAACATAATAGTAAAGTAATAATCTAGGACATAACGCATTTCTAAAACATATGTTAACATACTTAGTACTAAAATAAGACATGGAGGACATAAATGAAATACATATAATGAAATGAAGTTGCTTGTATATTTATTGCCAGTAATGTCATTGGCTCTCTATAGATGAGATGACAAAGTGTAAGATCTTGTCTCTCTTGCAGTACACAGAAACAGCAACAACCTTGGAAAGAAAAAAAAACAAACTCACATTTGTTTTACTTTTTTATCAGGGATTTACCAACTTATAGTTTAACAAGAAAATATCCTTATCTGTACAGGGAACCTCAATATGTATATACATATGTATATGTTTTAAGCAACAGTCAAATGACTTGAGCCAAACAACTGGCCAATGTTTATCACTGTTTCACCCTTAACAATATCTAATTTCACTTCCACGGTGATGGTTTTCCTTTTCTTTGAAACACTGCCATCTGAAGAGGTTACACTACACTTGGGAGCCATAATGAAGAGCAATAATTTCTTACAAGCACAACACAAACAAAAGAGAGTGAATGCACAACAATCCAATATGGCGTGCAACCAGGAACTGACCAAAACTGCTGTATGTATGAAGTAAATGGCAGAAATTGAAACAAAATTAATGGAGATTGCATCATAACCATGAATTGTCGTAGGTTGAGGGTGTCATAACCCAGGAACTTACTGTATAACTAGTTTATGTGTAAAAATCAAAAAATTACAGTCATATTTAAGTTATTATGCAATTGCTTTTATTATATTTTCCATATGAGTAATCAAGGATTTTTATTTATACAACTGTTGTCACTTGTAAGAAAGAATTCTGCTTTTTAAAACATTAAAAAGTAAAAAAAATATTTGATGGAAGCTAATGTGAAACAAAATAAGTGAGAAGAAATTTATTAGCAGCCTGATCTCCCCTACTTACTAAAGTGATATTTCATTGTTATTTTCACATGAAGCCTTTTCCATCATTACTAATTCACACTAGCACTCATTCAAGTCCTGTAGACCTTGTGAAGAATATGAGGCCCACAGCACTCAGCATGCTATGCCTTGCTTCTGTGGTTTCCATAGCAAGTAATATTTTTACAGGATGGAGTTGCTAGCCTCCTGCCAAACCAATTTTGAATTCTGAGTTGTCCTAGACTGGTTCTCAATTGTGGCTAAAGAACCCAATCTCCCTTACTATTTAAACCATAGCTGGGTTGTGGAGAGAAGAGATGAATTCCTAGCTTTTCTAATGGTATTTCGTATCAATTAATATTTCCTGTTAATATAACAGGATAACACATTACTAAGAATGGGAGATCAGGCTATGTGAATGTCACCTGTTAACAATAGAATATCTCATTATTAAGAAGGGGAGGTCAGGCTCTATGAATGACTCCTGTTAACTTAACAACAGGATATCACATTACAAAGATGGTGGGGGTGTCAGGATGTGCAATTGATAAATAAAATCAGTTTTATTTTATAAACTAGTTATTTCATCTGAAACAAATTTTAGAAAAGAAATAAAAAAATATTTTCATTTATATTTTGGCATTCTTAACGTTCATTCTTATCTGACGACTGTTAAGGTATTCCCATATTCTGCTATTGTTTCGAGCGGAATCAATCATATCAATAAACATATTTTCTTTACTTATGAAACTGTTGATGTTTTTTGTAATTGTTTCATCTGTTTGAATTTATGAGTTTCTTTAACTAAGTATTTAGGGCCAAATGTCTTCTACTTGACTGCAGTGAAAAAAAAAGGAAGCCTTCACCATGGGACATCAGGTTTCAAATCCAACTGTTAGTAGTCTTCAAAATTTTAATAATTAACCTCACCTGAATATTTCACTCATCAATACAGATTAAGCTTCAGTCAAATTTAAACCCATTGTATCCTAACAAGCACCTTAGATCTCATTTACTGTTTTATTTAGGGATCAACTTTTGGATGCTTATATGCATACTTGTTTTTATTTTATTTTTTTTATAAGCAATTTGACTTAAATTTGATTAAATCTTAAGCAATTCCATTACTAATGTCAATATGGCTGAAGCTACTCAAGAGAAAAAGCAAACACAAATAAATTAAACATAGTTATTTACACTATTCAGATTATTGTTCTCATCTTTATTGTCATATTCACAATGTTTCGGCCATTGTACACGCCAGCCCTCTTCAAGTGATATGTTAGAATTTTGAACTGAACCCTTTATTTAGTCCATTGAAGTAGATTGTTCTACTTCCATGAGCCATGCCTTTTCTGCATATCTTAGTTTCAGTTATTTCCCCTTAATAACACTACTATCGATGTCTTTTTGGTTCACCTCTGCTGTAGCCAGGTATTGAACTCGCTACTCTTTCAATCAAGCCACTGGATTATTTCAACCAATGCCTTTATCCACTGGGCCATGTATCCTTGGGGACAACAAAGATCTGGACAACAGTTTGAACAATGTGAATAGTGTAGTGTACTTAAAATATCTCATCTCAGAAATATAGACAATCAAAAATAATTATGAAATACATTATTTTCTACTGTGTTCAATTCAGTCTAATTACAGGGTGCGATGGGTAAGTTGTCGCCATTTTATATTTTTATTTTCACACATGCACATTGTCTGTTTTTATTTTGTTTACTGCACACCATAGCAGTGTCAGTTGGGCGACAGTAGGGTCATTTCCCTGTCAGAAATTTGGAAACGGCATGCTGTACTGCTTGGCATTCTCACAGGAATCTACAATACAAACATTTCAGAGTGTTTGGGTGTCAATCTGAGGATAGTTATGCCTCCATTCATCTCACAGGGCCTCAGATTCAACACAGAAGCCCACATCAAGTGCTTTGATGAGGTAGTGCTGTCTGGGTCAAGAGGGTGGCTGCTGGAAGACCTTATGTCTAGCAACTGGACTCTTCACCATGCCACACAAGCTGGAGAACCCCGTCATGGCTATCAGACAATTTCTGTGACCACATCACCTCTTACATTTGACTGCAACCCCCTTGATTATTATATGTGGGGCACAGTTGAGTGAGAGACCAACTAAACTCTTTGTAATACCAAAGATGAACTGAAGGCAAGGATTATGGCAGCATTCACCAACTTAAACAAGGAGACCATCCAGAAAAGATGCAGGAGATTGCAAAATTGTTTGGAAGCTGTGGTTGAAGCAAATAGCAATTTTATTGAATAAATTTACTCTTTTAGTATTTCAAAATATTTTGTGTAATTTTAGTAAATACATCTGTTGAAATGTCAGTGTTATTTTCATTTTTACTTAATTTAGATGTCAATTTATGCATCGCACACTGTATATATATATATATATATATATATATATATATATATATATATATATATATATGCACACATCCACACGGGTGATTGAAATGTAACTTCCTATTTTATGTATGATGAACTCTCGCGTCACGTAAAAATTATAGTTAGATGGGAGAGTCCATTATAGAGATTTTCCAAGTATAGCTTAGATGTGGCACAAGGTCGAAAGTACAGGGCACCCAGTGAGGATCGAATTCACTATTCAGTCTTAATTGCTCTAGCAAGACAAGCTTGCTAACCATTACACCGCCTCAAGGTGCCCCGGGTGAGTCCATTATATATCAAAATAGGGAGCTATTTTTCAATCACTGTATGTAATAAAAATATAGTTATAAAGTATGCCATATAAGTAGGTAAAAGTGCTCAATATCAGGGATAGAGCATGTGTAAATATAAAAGGATACACTGAGGTCAACATGCTTTAATGTAACCTTTATCAGTGATAGAGTTAACATATTCAGTTATATGGATATGAATTTGTAACCTTGGGTTTTACATTTCTGCAATCATCAGATAAACTGATTTATTTTTTAAAAATTGACCCTATTTATGTTAGTTTGTGTTTGATTATGTTTGGTGGTGGGGGAATCTCCTCTGGGTTCGTTTTGAGATGACACTCTTACGCACACAGACAGACAGACAGACAGACATACATACATACATACATACATACAGGTGTATGCATTGTAGTTCACACAAACACACATATAAACAATGCGAGATTTAGGCGTGCTATGAGTGTCATCCCAAAATGGACAGAGAGATTCCAACACAACTAAACATAATCAAACACAAATTAACATTAATAGATTCAATTTAAAAAATAAATCAGTTTGATGATCGCAAAAGCATGAAACCCAGAGTTACAAACTCATATCCATACAATTGAATATATATATATATATATATATCCATACAATTGAATATATATATATATATATATCCATACAATTGAATATATATATATATATATATATATATATATATTTCCATACAATTGAATATATATATATATATCTCCATACAATTGAATATATATATATATATATATATATATATATATATATCCATACAATTGAATATATATATATATATCTCCATACAATTGAATATATATATATATATATATATATATATATATCCATACAATTGAATATATATATATATATTCCATCAACATTCAGCCAACCTGTGGTTTATACTGTCACTATACCGGGTGAATGTTAGGAG